CTTTGGCTTTGAAACAGAGATGAGCACTGCCCCCTAGAGTCGGGAACGACTAGCACATATGTGTGAGGGGAACCTTTTACCTTTATTATGTCTATTCTCATCCATCCAGGTCTGGTTGTCCCAAAGATGCTTTTTCCAAATGGAAACTAGACTTCCGTGGTTTTTTTCTTTGAAAATGTTTCACTTCTCATCCAAGGAGCTTCTTCAATTCAGAAGAGAAGCGAAACATGTTCATAGGAGGGAAAAAACCATAGTCCAGATGATTGGACCATAGTCCATCTCCATAGACGTAACAATAATACACCAAGGTTAAAGCCAAGTCTTGCATCCGAGTTGGGACTTAAGTGTATTATTTTTTAAAATATCTTGGCCAGTGCATTCTGTGAAGAGTTTGGCCTAGTGATTAAATCACCAAATCTGAAATTTGGAAGCTGTTAGCCCCACCTTAGGCATAAAAGCCGGCTGGGTGACTTTAAACCAGTCACCTTCTTAGCCCAAACAACCTCTCAGGGTTATGGGAAAATGGGAGGAGGAAAGAGTACTAGGTATGTTTGCCAGCTTGCGTTACCTGTAAAAATAAGGTGAGCGAAAAATAAACTTGGGTCCAGTGACTTGTGTGAAAATAAAACCCTTAAAATCCTGATGGAACTTTTTGAAGAACTTTTTGAAGCACTTTAGAAATGCAGAGTGTGCTTGAGGCTGTTTTTACTTTGCAGCTTTTGCTGGCTTCCCACTTTATCTTTCCTTCAGATAATCTTAAAAGAGATTAAATAGGAGAAGGTCACACTGAGAACTCTGGAGGGTTAGGATCTTGTGGAAACTTCACACCTCAATAATGCTGATTGGATAAAGTATTTGCAAATCACAGAGCATTTAGATAGAACATCATCCAGAATAATTACATATGTACAGTTGCGGCTGAAGGAAAGGAGAGCAGTGTTAAGAAAAGATGAAGAAAGGACAATGCTTGATAAGAAAGCTGCAGGGATCTTGCAGAGACTTATTTAAATCCAGCCACCCTGAAAGGATTTTGTGAACTAAACTCTTGTGGAAAACGTGATGCCATGAACGTTGATTGACTAGATATATTACTATCTTTTCTAGAGATCTTTCTTCTTTTTTCTGCAACAACCTTAGTAGTTTTTTTAAAACCCTGAACTTGCCTAAAGGGGAAGTACGTCTATTTGCATTACAAAGGCCTCTCCTGCCTGCCTTCATTTAGCTTTTGCTGAAGAAACACCAGAGGCATTAACAAAAAGAGGATTTAACCCACAGCACTCCTAATTTTTATATTTCTCTTTTTAAAATTGTAAGCTGTCCAGAGTTGACCCCAAACAATGAAGTGGTTGGTATATAATTTAGTTAAATAAGGACTAGTCCTATGGTAGGAAGTGGTAATTCGAGACTGCATTATAACTCTTGCAGTATTGCTTTCAGCTATATATTTTTCTTCTTCAAAGGCTTAAGATAATGAAAAATGAAAACTAATCTCTAAAAATCAGAGAAACCAGAGAAAAATCAAGTCTCCAGTCTCATCTGGCCACGCTAATCATCACCCCCCTCCTCCATCTTCCTAAAAGAAATTAAAAGTAGTCCTCAAAATAATTGAGGCCAACATTTCTGTTGTTAAGTGAACTTTGCCCCAAATTAAGACTTTTCTTGCCACAGTTGTTAAGTGGATCATTGCAGTTGTTCAGTTAGTAATATGGTTGTTAAATGACATTGATTTCCCCATTGACTTTGCTTTTCAGAAGGTTGTAAAAGTTGATCCCATGACCTCAGGACACAGCAACTGTTATAAATATGAAACAGTGACCGAGGTTCTGAATTTTAATCACGTGGTCATGGGGATGCTGCAATGGCTGTGTGAAAAAAGGTCATAAGTCACTTTTTTCAATGCCATCCTAAGTTTGAACGGTCACTAAACAAACTGTTGTAAGTCGAGGACTATCTGCAAACATCCCTCTGCCTGCAAATGCTTGCCAAAACTGGCCAGTAGGTTTCAGAAACTTGATTAGATGTCATGTAGTTCAAGATTTCAAGCAAGGGAATGTTGTGTATCATCCTCCATCCAGGCAGTGTTTCTCTATGGTTGAGGACAGATTTGCAATTTACACCTCCCATTGCCTAATCCAGCATCTTTCCTGATCAACCTCACAGCCTCGAAAAGGAATTGCCCACCTTAATGTCTCCGGAAATGCCATTTTGACGACCCCCCCCCTTTTTTTTTTGTGGTGGTTGCAGTGAATCTTCACATCCCCCTGATGCAACCAGTTCTCATGCAAAAAAATGTTCTAGTTATGCACTTCAAAGCTCTTTGTGATCCTAATCTTACAGATTGCAAATTTGCTGCCACTCCACCCCTTTTCATCTAATCTACCTCACCTAACTTTTGCAGACATCAAAGTCAGGATTTTTTTCCCATCCTGTGGAAGTCTCGCCAAAAGAACATCTTCCTGTCAACCTCTGGGGTTGGGGCCCTGGTGCGGTTCTGCCCCCCCCCCCAAAAGTGTAGTTGCAGCCAGCTGCACCAGTATTTTTGGTTGGTTATGGAGGGATGCCAGTTCAGTATCTGCTTAATGGCTGTTCCTATTAAGCCACAAAGCTAAGTGATCTATTGGAGAAACTAAGAATGCTTTGAAAAATCTGTAAAACTCTTTGGGCAACTTCACAGGGCCGGCGTGAAGATAAAGCAGAGCAGGACAAAATTTCTCCGGGATGCTAGAAAGGAGGAGATCCAGGTTGAATTCCCCCCCCCCTCCAGCCACAGAAGTTCATTGGCTGACTTTGGGACAGCCCCACCTTCTCAGTCAATCAGATGTAGAAGGAAAGATGGCAGTGGGATCCTCTGGGTTCAAATCCTTCTCAAGTACAGAAGGCTAAAGTAGCACATTCAGCACAGTCTACCTCCCAAAACTTGTGAGGATAAAAAGGACCCCCCCCAATGTAAGTTTCCTTGAGCTCCTTTAAAAAAAACCTAGGATATGAATCACCTATGTTTATAGAGGAGGAGAGTGAAAAAAAGTTGGCTTGAAACTCAACATTAAGAAAACTTTAAGATCATGGCATCCGGCCCTCTCAATTCCTGGCAAATAGATGGGGAAGAAATGGAGGTCGTGACAGACTTGGATCTGGGTTCCAAGGTCACCGCAGATGGAGACTGCAGCCAAGAAATTAAAAGACGCTTGCTCCTGGGGAGGAAAGCTAGGGCAAAACCTAAAAAAAATGTTTTTTAAAAATACTAAAAAGCAGAGACATCACCCTGCCAACAAAAGTGTGTATAGTTAAGGCTGTGGTTTCCCCAGTTGCAATGTATGGCTGTGAAAGTTGGGCCATAAGGAAGGCTGAGCGCCAAAGAATGGAGGCCTTTGAACTCTGGTGCTGGAGAAGACTCCTGTGAGTCCCTTGGACTGCAAGGCCATCCAACCACTCAGTCTTAGAGGAGATCAACCCTGACTGCTCTTTAGAAGGCCAGATCCTGAAGAGGAAACTCAAAGACTTTGGCCACCTANCACAGTTAGAACAGGTGGGGAAGAGGAAAAACCCCCATCTCAGAGTTGTTCATGTACCAATCTCTCCGGGTTTTTTGTTTTCAAGAGAAGGAAAGAAAGAAAGGAAAGAAAGAAAAGAAGGAAAGAAAAGAAAGAAAAGAAGGAAGGAAGGCAGGAAGACCTTGTTGGCCTTTTTAGGAACAAGCACACCATCCAAGAGAAAACGTCCTGAAGCTTGTGGGGAAGCCAGCTGTGACTGGTACTCGACTCTGAGATGATGTGGGTTTTGCTGTCCCAAGATCTGGCTTTGAGCCCTGCGCGGCTTCACCCACAGTCCGAATGGCAAGATGATGGGGTGGTTCTTTTTTTCTTTTTTCTTTTAAAAGAAATTCTTTCAAAGAAGCACTGGATATTTTTTTTTTTAGAAGTTTGTCTCTGAAATTTAGTAGTGGACCTGGAGGAAAATCCTTGTTTTGAGATGCTTAAAAAAAAAAGAACAAACGAAACCATAAAAGATACATATATATTATCTATATCTGTACGTTTTAACGCAAGTAGGAATACCAATCTCTTGTGTGTGATTTCAGTCAATCAAACTCTTCTTCTTGGGGGGAGAGGCGTATCTTTGCAAGGAACCCAATGTATCCTGCCAGTGCAGTGGAGAAATGAGAACGGTGTTTGTCAAGTTTTAATTGGTTCCTGCCTGGGCTCTTCTCTGGGCTGTTGGTTTAAGGTATCTGCTTTACAGAAGGGAGAGGAGGAGCGTGTGCCCTTTGGCCCCTGAGGAGGAAGAACGCTGGGATTGATCTGCTTTTTTTTTTTATTAGTTGCTGCCGACATTGGGAAACCTGTAGTGGAAACAGGGGATTATATTGGTTTTGAAGTAAAGCTTCTCTGATGATATATTGAGATAGTTTGGGGAGGAAGAGCAGGCAGATATTTTAAGGGGTGGCCACTCTGGGGCAAAAATCTATCTTTGGCATGGAGGGGTGTTATTTTTTTTTCTTGACGTTCAGCTGCAGAATGAGCATCAGAAGTTTAAACAAAGCTGGAGACCACATGAAGGTGCAGGACCCTGAGTCTGATTTTATCATTTCAAATCCCAACTGGAAAAAGGGGCAATTTATGAAGAATGAAAGAAAAAACACCCACAAAGAAGTCACCCTGGCTCACAGCAGAAAAGCATGCATCTCTGCATTAAAAATATTGAGACCGCCGGCCTCTTCAGCCTATGATTGGTTTGGTTTTTCTTGCCACCAAAGGTGGGGTTTCCTTTAACCGAGACACTTTTGACCAGCTGCCCAGTTGTGCGATTTAAAAACAAAAAACAGAATTAATTTAGCTTTCTTTTCCAACCAAAGGGCTGTAAGCGTCCATTTTAACTTTTTGTATATGTTGAAGAATCCCCCCACCCTAGCTTTACATGGATGAACTTTAGAACCACCTCCTTTTTATTTTAAAAAATTGGACATTTTGTATAATGTTCATTCCCACTTTTGCCCTGCCCACCCCCCCAATAAAAAACCTCAATACCGTTATGCAAGAAAGCCTATCTGGCTTCTTTTGCCTGTTTAGCATTCACTGGGCCTTGCTTTATATTGCAGGTTCTGGAAGAGGGGAACACATGAATTGAAAATCTGCAATTGTTCTTATTAATTGAAAATGTCTCCAGAGTTTAGACTTCTACCATGTATATGGGAAAGGGAGACAGGCCACCTTCCTGCCTGAAACGTGGAATCTTTATTCAGACTGTTGGAGAACTGCTTGTTAAATTTCTTTTCTTCTGCCATCCCCTTCGCTGTGTGGCTGTGTAGATTTTTGAGCTAGACTTAAGCGCTAAACCTCTGTGCAATGCAATCCACTGAGTAAATGTAGCTCCCTCGTCCTTCCACTGTCTTCCTCACCTCCTTCCCCTTCCCTCTTCACATTTCACTTAGGTAGCAAATGCTTGCCTCTTTGTGTTGACCCCCCCGCCCGCCCGCCCGCATTTGTAGCGATTATAAAATGCTGAGTTTCAATGCAAAACCCCACCAGAACATCAGTGCTAGCGGGGTGCTGATTTTTTTTTTCTGTCTCAGTTTGTTTTAAAATCTGTTTCTCATCAAATTAATAAAAAATGCTTGCATTCTGTGCCTGGGGACTCAAAATTCTGATGTTTAGTTAAGATGTCTAGCAATAAACCTACAAGGAGCCTTTCAGTCAGAACAGTTCAATATGACACACACACACACACACACAGAAACATTCATTCTGTATTTTTTAAAATTGTATTGGCTTTTGCTGATCCCCCTCTTAAAGGTATTTAACGAGCATACCATATTCGTGCAACCAGCACTCCGGAGCAAAGGAAGAAGTTTCTCTTGGAATTTCTTACACAGTATTGTGCACCACTTTACTCTGCATCAAATGTATATGCAGGAATAATTTGTGTTTTTAACGAGTCATTGGCCATTCCTGATTTTTTGTTAACTAGGGACATGCTTCACTTTATATCACAGTTTTAAAATCCAGTCCTGTCTGCAGTCTCTCTTCAGAATGCATTTACTAGTTAGTAAAAGGGTGAAGATTCAGAATCCAAAAAACATGTACTCTACATTTGTTAGTGGCCCTCCACATCTAGCATGAAAATTTCAGAATTTTCATATAATCCAATTGTGGCTGCTAGCTTTAAGAAACACATACAGCAGAAGCCCTAGATGGCAGCATCTGCATTTGCAGAAATAATGCAAATATCAAATACTATCAAATATCAAATACTATGTGCCCCACATAGAAAAAAGTATCAGCTGCACTGTACACAAATTTATTAAGACTTTGGTCTAGCAGATTCTTCCCATGTTCTTTTGATAAGTTTGGTCTTGTTTTAGAAATCAAGCATTCCCACGCAAGCAAATTTGATGGAATTTGGTTTGAAGGACAATCCTAAATAACACAAGCTTCAGAGTTTTTGTTTATTTAATAACCAAGATCATTGATAAAATTTTAAAATCAACCGTACAGCGATTTAAAATAATATATTACTTTTGTAAAACCAATTCTGATGACTTTCATCCTAGGAACAATTAACAAATTATTTAACTTGCATCTAAAAATAAATGGTATGTGATAAATTGTAAGACGTAGCCTCTCCATACATTGTACACAACTCCAGCAATTTTGGACAAAAGCATTTTACATCCCACTTTAAGGCCCCTCAACTACGTGGCTCCTCTAGCCACTCATAAGGAGATTATGAACTAGATGACCATAACTGAACATCTGGTGGCTCAACTAAAGATACAGCAGGAAGAGGTTGATGAAACAGCAATAACCAAGGAGAATCTGGTGAATCATCTCACCGACAGCCGCATTCATCCACCACCATGTCCTCGTAATGTCTCAACACCACGTTATCATTGTTGTCATAGTACAGAACGGAGATTGGGGAAAGGCGGACAGGGATACAGCAAGGCTGAGGGGTCCCAGCGGGGTCCAGAGAATGCACAATGGTTTGCAAGATGGCATGGTTGGTGCTGTTGAGTTCCTCGGTCAGGGGAAAAGGGCATTCGCCGAGGCAGTAGTTGGCCAGGTAACCCTGTGGAGCAATGATCCAATTCTCCCAACCGACTTCGGTGAAGCTGATGTACAACCGGCGGGGTTTGCAAATGTTGCTGGCAGAGACTGGCCTGTAGTAAGCGCTGCGCCTTTTCCTGGGGCTTTTGCACTGCCTAGGAGTGAGGGAAACCACCAACAGGGAGGTGCTGAGCATGGAATGGAGCTTGGAGCATAAGCTTCTCTCGGGTGACGCTGGGAGGCTAATTTCAAGGAGCAAGCCCAAGTTCTTGGATGGAGTCTGCCATTCCTTCGCCAGCTCGGTCAGGTTGAAGGCAAAGGACTTGCGCAGGTGGACGAAGGATTGCTCCACCAGGAGTTGGCGGCTGTAAGTATGGGCGGACATGCCACGCAAGGTCATCTGGGGAGCCCGATAGAGGCTTAACTCGAAGGGATGAACTGAGCTGGAACCCTGGTACTGGTTGTGGCTGAACTGAATCTCCAGCTGGGCCAGGGTCAACTGCTCCCCTTCCTCCAGGGCAGAGAAATTAAAATATAGCCGTTTTTGTAAACATATCCAACTTGGGGGTTCTTCTCGGTGGATCAATTGTCCTAGAATGGGTGTAGAAATCAAAAGCACTTTAGGGTTATCAGAATGTTACCAGACAGAAAGCATTTGGGGTAAGGGGAGAAGGGAGCAATCATCAGACAAACAACAATGTCCCTCACTAAACATTTAGGACTGAAAGAATTTGATTTATTTTTAGCACCTTAACATTTTTAATCAGTCTTCTATCCCAGCCTACCACAGAGAGGCAAAGTCATTCTGAAAAACTAAGGTGGAAGAGATCCCTTGTAAATATACCTGTAATCCTGGTTTAGTGACTGCCTCATTTATTTTATTTATAAAATGTATAAGCCACCCAACTTAACGTAACTTGATGGGTTAGCAACCATTTGCAGCTACAATGATGACGAAAAAAGCAACAGGTAACTCAGAAAGTGCTTGCTGTAACTTTGAAGGTCACTAAGTGAGCTGTTGTAAGTCGAGGGCTACCTGTATGTTGATTTAACTTTTCTTAGAAAGAGCTCAAGTTTGTCCTAGTTCCACTGTTATGACCTAGTCACCAAGGTCATTCAGTCAAGCAATGGGTTTGAATTTGGTTTGGTCTTTCTCTGGAAAAAGTTGGATGCACATTCCACAATGCTAGAAACTCATGAAATGAGAATTTAGTTGGCCAGATGCAAGAAAAAGGAAAAAAAAAATAAAGGAAATCCAGCCAATTTGAAAACTACTCTGGCTGAGCGGTTTTCTTTTAATCCATTAATTAATTGAATTAATTAGGGCTGCCCTAATGCAGATTTCAGGAGCTGTGTTTAGCAGCAATTAGAAAGGTACCTTCTTAAAGCTACAACTTTACCCTTCAAAAAGAGAATTTTATTCCTTTGTTACATTTTTATTTACGTTTTTATTAAATTTATATGCTACCCATCTCGCCTAGAAGTGACTCTATGGACTTACCACGAAATAAAAGCAACACGAAAAAACATTAAAATTGTAGATATTAACGTTAAAAGTGACTTTTTAAAAAAAAATGGCAAGGAATGAATGGAACAAGAGGCAGGGAGATGGTTTGAGACTTTTTACTCTTTGGGATCTCAAAGGGATAACATTGGGGGAATAGAAATATTGCATCTTCCAAATACAATTTTAATTTTTTTTTTTATTGGTGGAATCCTCATTTAGAAGACTAATTTGAAATGTGGATTAATTTAATTTTCCTTCCCCCACTCCATTTTCTCCTTGTTAACTAAAACGGCTCAAATATTAGCAGTTCCAATTGTATCCCAAGGTATACTTTTATCACCTACAGAAAAATATTGTGGGTTTTTCTGTGACCGCTTCCTCCCCCCACCCTCACCCCGCCTTGTTCTCCCTCTGTGTTAATTCCTTTAAAAACAATCGCCCATTTTTGTTACAAATGCCACGGCCGCTTCCTTCTGCTTCCCACGCAAGTTGCAAACTAAGTACGCACGTTCCAAAGGAAAACTTTTCCAAATCCAATCATTTCTCCCTACCCGCCAACTTGATTGGAAACCAACTGCCGCAACCCAATAGGAATAGCCGAGCTTCATAGCCATGCCATTGATAAGGACAACTGACCGTTAATATTTTGCTGGGCATTGATTCCCCAAATTTCATTGATTTCACGTGGCATTTTTTGTTTTGTAACTGGAAGGCTGAGATAACGAAGCGCAAATCCCCGTAAAGAAAAGGAAGAACTAGCCATCCGGAATCCAGAAACAGGAGGGGGAAAAACCGGCCGGCATGTAAATTTAATAAATAAGGCGCTATTTTTCTGCAAACGTGCCTGGGCTCCCTCTAAAACTTCGGAAAGTTAGGATGAAGCGGGTTGCAAGGCGCACTGCTCGCACTCAGGGTAACAAGGGACAAACAAACCGGGAGGCATGTAAATTTAATCAACAAGGAGCTCTCTTTCTGCAAACGCGCCTGGGCTCGTTTAAAATAAAATAAAACCCTCTAAAATAAACCCTCTAAAATAAAACCCGAGAAAGGAAAAAAAAATCAAGCGGTTTGCAATAGGGGAGAAAAAAACCGGGAAGCATGCAAAGGTAATAATAAATAAGGCGCTTATCTTTCTGCAAGCGCGCGCCCGGGTTCCCCCCTAAATAAACCTCC